CTTTTTTTATATAATATTTTTATTAATTTTCACCAAAAGTTTACAATAAAACAACCATAAAATATCTCCAAAAACACTTTCCACAAGATAACAAGGTACACACATAGAAGAAAAGAGGAGAGAAAAGAAGAAAAAAGAAAAAAACAAACAAAAAACCCCCCACAAACAGCAAAACGAAAACAAACCAACACCCTAGTGTGACTTCTGCTCTTCTTACTTAGCCTTAATCCATATTCTTTTCCTTTCTTTCCCTCTCTTTCCATCCTCCCAACAAAGTTTGGTTATGTATAGAGAAAAAGAACCGTATAGGTTATTTCTATCTCTCTTATTCCACTTAACCAGTCTTTCCTTTCTATATATTCTTGTAAAACATTCCAGTCCGTTGGTTTTATACCTCGTCCGTTATGTTGCCTTAACCAATATGTTCATTCATCCATGTCCTTGATGTCTATAATTTTTCCAATCCAGTCCATTTTTGAAGGTTTTTTCTCCTGCTTCCAAAGTTTAGCAAACACCATTCTTGCAGCCGTAGCAAAGAAGGTAAACAGCTTTTCCTTATTTTTGTCTTTAAATATATCTGGGTCAAACATGCGGTAGTCTATTCTTGATGTAACAAGAGTGTGGACCACGATGGCCAAGTCTGATTTACCAAGGTACGGGCGCAACTGGCACACAAGTTTTAATTGTGAGAATGTTCCCCTGGCCACCGCTGAAACCTGGGGTTCCAGGCTCAGAGATGAGTCTAGGAGAACTCCCAAGCTGAGAACCTGTGCTTTCAGAGGGAGTGTAACCCCACCCAACACAGGCTTTGACTCTATACCCTATTAAAGTCTTTTATATAAATAAAAAAATGTAATGTTCATTTGTGGGATTAACAGAACTCAAAAACCACTGGACGAATTGACACCAAATTTGGACACAAGACACCTAACAACCCAATGTATGTCCTTCACTTAAAAAATTAATTTTGTCATTTGGGAGTTGTAGTTGCTGGGATTTATAGTTCATCTACAATCAAAGAACATTCTGAACCCCACCAATGATGCAATTGAACCAAACTTGAACCAAACATTCAGGCAGCACTATGGATTCAATCAGTGATGGATCTGGACCAAACTTTACACGAATACTCAATATGCCCAAATGTGAACACTGGTGGAGTTTGGGGAAAATAGATTCTTGACATTTGGGAGTTGTAGTTGCTGGGATTTATAGTTCACCTACAATCACAGAGCATTCTGAACCCCACCAATGATAGAATTGGGCCAAACCTCCCACACAGAACCCCCATGACCACCAGAGTGGGCCACAGCAACTCATGGCAGGGGACGGCTAGTACTTTATATAAATAAAAATGTAATGTTAATTTGTGGGGTTAACATAACTCAAAAACCACTGGACGAATTGACACCAAATTTGGAAACAATATACATATCAGGCCAACGAGTGACCATCACTCATAAAAACACAGAAAAACACAGCAGAAAAGACTTTAAAAGCCAAAAAAACAAAAAATACATTACAATGCATCTGCAAAACCACATATATACACAAACACACATATATACATATATACACACATATATACACACACACAAAACACATATAAACAAACTGGGCCACAGCAATGTGTGGTAGGGGACAGCTAGTAAATAAATAAATAAATAAATAAATAAAGTGGTCTAAGGGTTGTTGTAGGTTTTTTGGGCTATATGGCCATGTTTTAGAGGCATTCTCTCCTGATGTTTTGCCTGCATCTATGGCAAGCATCCTCAGAGGTAGTGAGGTCTAACATAGTCTTGTGTTGCTTATTTGTTCAGTTGTTTCTGACTCTTCGTGACCTCATGGACCAACACACACCAGAGCTCCCTGTTGGCCATCCCCCCCCCCCCCCCAGCTCCTTCAAGGTCAAGCCAGTCACTTCAAGGATGCCATCCATCCATCTTGCCCTCTTCCCTTTTCCTTCCATTTTCCCCAGCATCATTGCCTCTCTAAAGGTTTCCTTTCTTTTCATGATGTGGCCAAAGTACTTCATCTTGGCCTCTACTATCCTTCCCTCCAATGAGAAGTCAGGATGAGGATTTATTTCCTGAAGTATGGACTGGTTGGATCTTCTTGCTTTCCAAGGCACATAGTCTAAAGATCTGATATTATCTAAACTAGTCCTGTGTTTTCCAGTGTAAGGTGGAAGTTGGCAGGTGGAAGTTAAGAGTCTAGTGCAGTTCTAGCTTCCAAACATCCTTGAAAGTATTCTTCAAGGCAACTGGCTATAATTTTCTAATTGTAAAGACAAGCTCAGGTCACACTCAAGACCTATGACACTTGTATTCAGGAGGCATCTCTCCCTAATTTGTTCTCTTTAGCTTCATTAATCAAACCTTGCAGCTCCGCCACCAGAGCTATTTTTGGAAAGTGAAGTCATCTTAGAATTACAAATATCCTTTAACATAAAAATCACATTACATTTCCTCCACCAAAGAGCACTTTCAAAAATGACATGCCATCTTTCTACATTACTCACTCAAGGGCAAATCGAGGGGGTTTGAGTCACCTTACAAACCATCAACATAAATCCCTTGGAAGGTGATCAACCAGCTTCTGATTGAGAGGCCATCTAAGAAAACACAATAAATCACTTCTTGTTGACCTTTATTCACAATCTCTGAGGAAGACACAACACATTGAGATATATGGCATAGCTTGCAGTGTATGCAAATTCATAATGTGCTTTGCAATATTTATTTCTTTAAATGTATTTTATCACCTTTCTCATCATGCACAGATCCTTGGTGCTTGATATAATTTATGTTAACATGAGATGCTGAACTTTATGGGAAATGAAATGAAAGGCTAAGTTAAATTGTGAGGACTACTTGCAATGTATTGGCTTGAATCCTATTGGTTAATCATAGCTAGAGTAGGCCTACTGAGTCAAGTGGCAGTTAATATAAGGTCAATCCTATTGATTTAATGAGTCTTTCCTAACTGAAACTAACGATAGGTCTCCGGACCTCATAGCAGTATTAATTCTTTTATTGATTGATTGATTTACTAGCTGTACCCGCCACGCATTGCTGTGGTCAACCTTCCTTCCCACTTTCTCTCCTTCTTTCTCTCCTTCCTTCCCTCCCTCTTTCCTTTGTTCCTTCCCTTTTCCCCCTTCTTTCCTTCCTTCCTTCTCTACCTCTTTCCTTCCTTCCTCCCCTTTATCTTTCCATTCCTCTTTCTCTCCTTTCTTCCTTCTCTACCTCTTTCTTTCTTTCCTTCCTTCTTTTGCTCATTGCTTCCATCCTTCCTTATCTCTTTCCTTCTCCCTTTCCCTCCCTCTTTCTTTCTCTCCTTTTTTCCATCCCTCTTTCCTTCCTTTCTTTTTTTCTTTTCTTGTCTACTTCTTGCCTGGATGCCAGCGGGAAGAGAGAAAGGAAGACCCCAAATTGAGGATCCAGGGAAGCTGAGGGTGTGCCTGCCCAGCCCATCAGAGCCTTCAACACGCCCTGCAGCTCTCATTTTCATGCATGCGCTGTACCTTGTTTTTTCATTTTGGGGTTTTAAAGTCCTTTTCGCTGTTGTTGTTGTTTTTTTTTTTTTGGTGTTTTTTGTGATGATCATTCATTGGGTTGTTAGTTGTATGCTGTCCAAATTTTGTGTCAATTCGTCCAGTGGTTTTTGAGTTATGTTAATCCCACAAACGATCATTACATTTTTATTTATATAGATTTCACATATTTGTATCCTGTCTTTCTCACCCCCCAAAGGGGGACTCAGGGTGGCTTACAACAGACAACTATTTGATGCCATTATACAGTCATAAATAACAATTGTAGTAAAAACTGTAATTAAAATATTAAATTATTAAAACATTCATTAAAAAATCACACAAATCCAAATCATAGTACAGGTCAGACCATTGTCAGTAACATAGGGTTGGTATCCAAGGTCACAACATCTGTTATAGAACTTCAATATGCTGATGATAACGTAATCTGTGCACTTTCAGAAGAAGACCTACAAGCCACTTTAAACATCTTCAAAAAGCATTTGAGAATCTCAGCCTTTCATTGAACATCAAGAAAACCAAAGTACTCTTCCAGCAATCACCAGCCAATCCCTCTGAAATGCCAGAAATACAGCTTAATGGTATAACATTAGAAATTGTTGATCTTTTCTGCTACCTTGGCATCCACCTCTCCACGAAAGTCAACATTGACACTGAAATACAATACCTCCTGAGCTCTGTGAGTGCAGCATTTTTCCAAATGAAGCAAAGAGTGTTTGAGAATCAGGGCATCCATAGAGATATCAAGGTGCTTGTTTATAAAGCAAATGTCCTCCCAACTGCAAAACGTGGCCAGTCTACAGACGTCACACTCAACTCCTGGAACAATGCCATCAGCTTTGCCTCTGAAAAATCCTGCAAATCTCTTGGGAAGACAGGCAGACAAATGTCAGTGTGTTGGAAGAAGCAAAGACCACCAAAATAGAAGCGATGCTCCTATGCCATTAACTCCTCTGGACTGGACATGTCTGAATGTCCAATCACCATCTCGCAAAGCAGTTACTATACTCCCAATTCAAGAACAGAACATGTAATGTTGGTGGACAGGAAAAGAAATTTAAAGATAGGCTTAAAGCTAACCTTAAAAATTGTGGCATAGACACCAAGAACTGGGAAGCCCTGGCCCTTGAGTGCTCTAACTGGAAGTCAGCTGCAAACAGCAGTGCTGTGGAATTAGGAGAGGCACAAATTTGGGGGGGGGGGCAAAAGGGAGCAACGTACCAAGAGGAAGGTGCATCAAACCAACCCTGACCCGCCTTCCACCTGGAAACCAATGGCTTCACTGTGGAAGAACATGCGAATCAATAGGGCTCCACAGTCACTTATAGACCCACTGTCAATATACTGCACTTGGAAAGCCATCATGTTCGGACAATGAGGGATCGCCTAAGTAATAAGTAGTAAGGAACTAAGTAGACAAACAACTGCTTTTCAAAATCTCAGTAAGTTTTATTGTATGGAGGGCATGAAAAAGCGTAACAATATTTTCCCTTGCCTTAAAGAGGCACACATGGCATGCTGGTATTTGCAGCATTGCTCCTACCATTCTTATCAAACAGACATATTGGCATACCTTGCAATTAACCTTTCATGGTAAGACAGACTCTGTGGATGGACATCTCATGAATAGAATCTGACCTGAAAAATGCAAACAGCTTGCTTTCAGGTTGATGGAAACTAGGATAAAGCACCTGTTCTTCCTCTTTGGTGATGCTAGCAATGCCACCTTAAGCCTAAACAACTAAATGTTCAACATACCTAGTAAGAACTAAGCTGGACGTGTGAGGCAGGGGGATCCACAGGGAAAGTTTCAACTGCACATAAGTTTTCCTTTACCCATTCTCAAAGAAAATACATCTCAAAGAAAAGACTTAAGAATAAACACCTCTGTAGAGATGAACAACAAATATCAAAGTAACTTGGGCTTAGAGAAGCAGAGATGGAGAAAGTATATCAAGAGATGGAAGAAGTGAAATAGAAAGCTGGGGTCAAAACAAGGAAAATGAGGCAAAGCTAACCGGAACAGCATGGGTCAGTTGGGTTGGGTGAGCACTCACTTGATTCTCATTTATATGGTCATACTTCCACACTAATGTCTAATATATATTTAGAAAGAATTGCATTTAATGAAATGGTATATCTGACAATGGTACTTGTCAAATATACCATATAAGTTATCACTGCCTTCTTAAATCTGAACCTCCCGCGCTTCCTGTCAATAATTGCCAGGTCTTCTCTCTCTCTCAATCTTGGATTTGCTCTTTGTCCATGCCACCTGCCCCAATTGCTTTGGACAAGCCTAGCCTTGTATCTTTAATGTGCAAGAAGGGATTGGCTATAGACTCTGTACACAATTCACACTATTTCTGGGGTTGATAGAAAAACTCTTGACAAAGCATGACCAAACCCAAACCAACCCTTCCTCCTCCCCTGTTGATAATGCTGATGGAACTCTGGATTGAAGCTTTGTTTAGGGGAATAGCATTCCCATCCTGACAGAGATTTCAATTATCACCAGGCAGTTAAAATAGACTAGTTTACAGAAAGCTACATCCATTTCTTATATACAATAGAAAAGGCAATCAGATTAAAGGCAACAAGTGTATCCTTGAAGAGATCTATAACACTGTCTAGTGATAAAAGACACTCTATGCCTATCAGAAAGTCAAATTAAAGGAGGAACATCTGGGTCATCATCCAAGTCTGACGGCAAAGTGTTGGTGTTCAGATTGTTTTGCCGCTGAAGCCTCAAGGGACCTTGTCCATTCAAATCCTTTTCCTGTACAATATTTGTTACATCTGGGAATGAGTACTTGGTAGGATCCACTTCTAACTTCTCTGTACACTCTTTTCTGCAATAGAAAAACAGAACAATGGTTACTTCCTTGGTGACACATTAATTTCAACTGGAGCATAAGAAAGTTCAATTGAGACTTCCAAAATTTCTCTCTGTTGGAGACCTAACATTGATTTTTAGTCCTGGCAGAAAGGTGCTCACCTACTAGCCTCTTCCGAACTTTTAGACAACAATTTTACATACTGTCTAGACACAATGTTCTTTTCTTTTACCCACCATACCATCTGGGAAATATTTCCTGAGAACAACTTTCTGGTAGCTAACAATACTCATAATCAGCAGCTTGAAAGTATACTCATCCCATTTTTCCTTGCTACAAATGGCTTCAATGGGACCAGTTAAACAATGCATGGGCAGACTTCAGCCCTCCAGGTGTTTTGGACTTCAACTCCCACAATTCCTAACGCCAATAGGCTGTTGAAGTCCAAAACACCTGGTGGGCCAAAGTTTGTCCATGCCTGAGTCAAACTGAGTACTGGAGTTTAGCACAGCTGTTAATCACCAGCAATGATAAGATGACCCAACTGAAAGGTTGCCAGTTCGAAGCCTTAGGTCGGCGTGAGCTGCCGACTGTCAAGCCCAGCTTATTGTTGAGCTGAAATTAGAGAACTTAGGTACCACTAAAACATGCAGGGGAGTTATTTTATGACACCATGAAAAAAAGGAGGCGAACAAAAGGAAGGAGGAAGTCTTGATGGCTCTTAGTTCATAGAGGATGGAGCGACAGCACCCTGTGGATTTGAGCACAACCTTCCATAACCTTCCAAGGCACCAAAAAGCTGGGTGTCAACATACCTTCTTTCTGTTTTGTCTGGCTCTCTATTGTCTATCCAAAACAGCATTGAATGTTTGCCATATATGTGTACTGTTATCCATCCTGAGTCCCCTTTGGGAGATAGGGCGGCATATAAATAAAGTGTTGTTGTTGTTGTGATTATTATTATTATTATTATTAAATTATAGTTGGTTTTATTCAGGCTCCCAATCTATGATATAAAATGATATCTTGCTACCATGAGTCAACCTGTTCCATATACATTAAGCTCCAAAATTCACAAAACAGCAATGTTTTTATTAGGCCAACCAAGAAATGGACCAAATACATTATGGAAGCTGTCAAAGCTCCACTGGCATTTTTATCAGGCAAAAGTTTTTTTTTTTTAAAAAAAATCATGCAGAAAAAGGAAAAAAAATGATGTTAGTTTCCAGGCCTACATTTTGTCATTTTGTTGTTGTCAATTAAGATTCTGGGAGACAAAAAGTAATAAAATCCAAGCAGAATTTCACCTTCTATTGATATAAAAAGTCTTAAGAGTCTTTTGTTGTGCTTTGCCTTTGGGGTTTTCTTCTAGGAGACCGGAAAGAAAATTTTGATTTTCGATTCAACCATTCTCACTGAAAATGAATTCACTGCAAAATAATTTTTAACTAGCAATTTGCTTTGCATCAAGGTATAATTTACAAGTTATAAATTACAGCACATCTTCATATCATATGTTCTTCACAGGATTTATTTCATTTGCGTCATCCCAGCCATTTATACTTTTCTATATAATGAATCAATTACGTGAAACCTCAGGAAGCTGCGATAAAAACACAACTTGTTATAGCAAACATTAGACACCATTGAAAGAGGATGGTATGTTTATTTCCGTTTTTCCTTTTTAGTTTTATATATTTAGTGATCAATTGAGCGTAAAAACTGCATAAGAGAAAAGTATTATTATCGGACAGTATTTTTATCTCACATCTATTGAATTCTACCTCCCGACAAACAGGAAGAGCATTCAACAACAGAACAGAGTATTAAGGAACAAGAGGGTCTGTGTATGCTTAGAAATATAACCAGTACAGTTTCAGAGAATAACAATCCCCCCAAACAAACCCCTAGTTCGTTCTTTTCTCTTAAATGGAAACAGTAGATAACACAAGAAAATACTGAATATGCTACTGAATGTCAAGTCAAGACTTGTACAAATCCTACTAGACCAAAGGGTTTAGTTGGACAAGTAATTATTTGTCCAACCAAATAAGTCTAGCTATCTAAAAAAATCCCCATGTAGATGTTTGCTGAATAGGCCTGGGAATCTCTATCAGTAACATGTTAACAACAAAAAATACCTCCTCCAATAACCACTTAGAATGAGATCTGCAAGGATATAAGCACTCAGAGCTTCTATAGAAGATACAAAACAGTGGTTCTCAACCTTCCGAATGCCACGGCCCCTTAATACAGTTCCCCATGTTGTGGTGATCCCCAGCCATAAAATTATTTTTGTTACTACTTAATAACTGTAATTTTTCTATCTTTGTGAATAATAATACAAATAATGTAAATATCCCATATGCAGGATGTATTTTCATTCATTGGACCAAATTTGACACAAATACCCAATATGCACAAACTGGTGGGGTCGGGGATTGATTTTGTAATTTGGGAGTTGTAGTTGCTGGGATTTGTAGTTCATCTACAATCAAAGAGCATCCCAAATTCTACCAACGATGGAATTGAACCTAATTTGGCACAAGGAACTCCAATGACCAAGAGAAAATACTGGAAGGGTTTGGTGGGCATTGACTTTGAGTTTTGGAATTGTAATTCACCTGCATCCAGAGAGCACTGTGGACTCTAACAATGATGGATCAGGACCAAACTTGCCTGCATGGCAAAATACAGTTGGACTGAATGGTCCATGTGGTCTCATCCAACTCTATGATTGTATGAGACAGCATACAATTGAGTCGCTTTTACACAAGTGTAATGCAGAGATCAAACTCCAGGTTATCTTCTTCTCCTGATGCTACAATATTACATCTTTAAAAGTCTTATCTGTTTTTCAATACAGAAATGCATTTTTAACAAAAGAAATGTAATCAGAAGCTTTGGAGACTGATTTGTAGTTATTTGGGGAATGCAGCAGGGAGAAACAGAGTTAAATTTGCTTTTCGTTCATAGGGCCTGGGTCAAATATTAATCAGGTTTCCCCAAGGCCATTGTTTATATAATAAATGTATGCAGGCTAATTGCATTCTGGCAATTAACCTCAGATCTAGTTTGGCCCTCAGTGAATGAAGCAGAGGTTCAAAAAGGTCTGGAGCTTACCACCTATTTTTAGCTGTATATCTAGATCTTGCGTACTATTAAAGAGTTTAATATAGTGGATTTATTCTCTACAAATGGTCAATCATGAAATGTAATTAGCTGCTGCCTACTTGACTCATTTGCAAAAATATCTGTGTTGTGATTCTGAGTCAGATTATTAGTCACTTTTGGATGAACTCCAAAGACACTTGCTCTGTGGCCTTACTTCTGTTCTCATCAGGACATTTCATATCCCACAATAAGCCCCCCTCCTCTTCTCCCCAAGGTAAGCTGCAATGGCCAATGGAAGAAAATGTTTTGAATAATCCCAGTTGTTGGAATCAGAGGCATTTAAACAGTTACAATACTGGCAACAACTACAGCAGCCCATAGTGCCTGCTTTGTAACACACAGTGACATAATGTGATTTCTTGATATAATTATTTAAAGTTACAGAAACTATATAAATGTTATAATTGATATATGCTATAAATCTTGATATCTTTAAAGAAGATATTTCGAGGACAAGAGGCAGATAAGATTTTTAATGAATTAAATCAAACACAAAAGCCTTACTTAATGGGAAATGTTTTTACAGTGAAAAAAGATTTCTTTTTTGCTTTTCTTCTATGATAGTGACAATCACAATAGTTAAATCAGCAGAGACAGAATCAATAGATATGGGGCCACGGTAGCACAGTGGGTGGAGCCCCCGGGGAGAGGCGGATGAGCTCCCTCTATCAACTCCAGCTCCACATGCGGGGACATGAGAGAAGCCTCCCACAAGGATGATAAAAACATCAAATCATCCAGGCGTCCCCTGGGCAACGTCCTTGCAGACGGCCAATTCTCTCACACCAGAAGCAACTTGCAGTTTCTCAAGTCGCTCCTGACACGACAAAAAAAAAAGCACAGTGGGTTAAACTGCTAGCTGCAGAAAAACTTGCTGAATGGAAGGTTGGCAGTTCGAAGCCCATGGGTTGTGGTGAGTTCCCGTTGTTAGCCCTAGCTTCTGCCAATCTAGCAGTTCAAAAACATGCAATGAGAGTAGATCAATAGGTGGGAAGAATAAAAGGCATCCATACAGCCATGCCAGTAGGAGTGGGTCTACAGACAACAGCCTCCCTGGCATGGAAAATGGAACAAGAGCACCTCCCCATGGACAAAGTAGAGCATCGCTGCAAGACACCAGCAATGGAAAAGGGAAACTTTTGCCTTTGTTTGTGTATTGTATGTCATTTTTCTTCACTCTATAAAAGGCATTGAATGTTTGCCTATATATGTGTATACTGTATTCTACTCTGAGTCCCCTTGGGGAGCGGAACATAAATAAAATGTATCATTATCATTATTATTAGAAACACAACAAGATCAGTACACAGCAAACAAGATTACTATGCTGACTGTTGTATTGGATCACACGTCGGACACTTCCCAAGTGTCTAGGACTATGTGATGTATCGGCAAATAATGAGTGCAGATCCCAGTAGGGTGGCCTTTTGCAGCTAACAGATGATAATTTGGTCAGCGCCGATAGTGTTTAAGTGTAGGCCAAGGTCTTTAGGCACTGCACCCAGTACCTTATTATTATTACTATTATTACTATTATTACTATTATTATTATTATTATTATTATTATTATTATTATTATTATTATTAGATATGGAGGGCTGACTATATTCACTGAATCATAATATACTCACAAACAAATAATCTTTTTTTTTTTTTTTGAAATTATGCACAGAAAGAAAATTCATACATTTACCTTCTTAGATTCCTTTGCAGTTTATCTGTGTCACACAATTTCTTACAAGTAGTTGTTTGGGGTTTTGCCACGATTACTTCTTTAGCCTGGAAAATATACAAATATACAAACAGGAATTGAAGGTAGGTCTTATGCATTTTTGTTCTTTTTGGTACTGAAATGAGTGTGTAACTTACTATAGAGGGCATCTTAGAAAGAAAAAAAATGATGTACTAATGAGGCCATACGATCATGCCAAAAAGATTCATTCCAAATCCCCTATATACTATCAAAGAAGTAGAGTACAATTCAGCCAAAATTAAGCTTATCTCATGCCCTATGGTTTCAATGCAAGAATAATACACATGCTCAACTCTCTCCAATTTCAATCAAGGAAACCTGGAAGCATTCCATTTTGGCTAGATCATATATAGGATAAAGACCTCAAGAGACTGACTTCATTTCAGGGTTGATGTTTTTTGCCTATGGAAGCCAAATTCAATAATAGTTCAGTGAAGTACTACATACTTTTCCATAATCACAAATATAAAAAGAATGTATAATTATAAAATACTAATTAGATTTTACTGTCAGAAGGTGTATAATGTTTCCTTTATAGGAAGCACGGGGAAGGTGGGTGTTGGGGAAAGGATGGGATATAACTTGTAGGTAGGTAGGTACGCAGGTAAACAGATAGAGAGAGCAAGCTCATAGGTCACAAGATACCCCCCAGCACCTCCTTCCCCACACTTTTGCAGCTCTTGAAGCACAACAGAATCCCTGACCACCCCAAGAACAGATCAAGTTATTAACAACATTTAACAGTGTGACCTCACCACAAAACTGTGCCATCAAAGCAAGCAACAAACTACTATAAGGGCTCCGGTGAGGAGGAGGAAGGAAGTAGCAGCATGTGTATGGCTAATGCTCTGGAACAAACACAAATATCAATATCAGTTCTCTCTTCCTAATGTGGTTTTCTCCTTGACTTATCTTTCCATACTATGACAAGAATCAGCTGCCTCTTGTAAGGGAAAACTGAAGTAGACTCAGTTGTAAGCAGATAGAATAGGGAGCTCTTCAGTCTCTAAAACAGGAAAGGAGGCATCACCTTGTCTTTGCGTTTGTGTTGTATGGATCTAGGGTGGGAATGTGTATTTTTTCCATTGGAAGGGTTCTTTGTTCTCTTCCTTCTCTCTTTTACACGTCAAATCTATTTTTTAAAGTTTTAAAAATTAAAAATTTAAGAATGGGGTTTCAGTCTTCTGAGCTTGTGAGGTTGTTGACCCATAGTTCATAGTGACACACTGCCATTAAGATTCAGATATTTAGCTTAGTAATGGCTTAGTAATGGTAAACTGAAGGTTCCATTTATCCGTCAAAGGACTAAGGCTCACTGGAATGTTATATTGCCAAATTCCCAGAAAAAAATGTAACAGAATACAAAAAACTAGCATGGCCTATGGTTAGCGAGTATACTATGGCACAGAATTCCTGTATCTATGATGGTTGTGCAAAAAAGGGGAACTTCAACAAGTGAAACTTGCAAGAATTCCCTGTCCACACTGGTCAAGTGAAAGTCAATAAGAATTCTGCTAACACTGCCACTCTATCTCTCTCTCTCTCTCTCTCTCTCTCTCTCTCTCTCTCTCCTTACTTTTACTTAGCTAAACAATGAAAACATCCAGTTCTATTTGTCTGAAATCCTTTGGTGCCCTTATAACTTGCTTTGGGACAAGGAAGGACATTCATTTTCAGATGTAATAAAAGTCTGTCTGGGAACATGAAAAGCTTTCATTTACGCAGTTGATGCAAAAATTTATTCTCACCAGGGTCTTTGCTGCTACCAGAAGGTCACAAGAGATGGCTGATTTCCAAAAGGGATTTTTTAAAAAAGAAACGGAAGGCTTTGAAAAAATGGCTTTTGCATAATTAAGGTTGTGATCCAATGAAAGGCTTACACAGAGATGTAAGAACCCTTAAATACATGGATCAACGTAAGTAGGACATCATACCTGCATTACTTGAGTGATTTGGACTACTGTTGAGTCCACATTTCTAGAACAGTTTTGTGGCTCAACATTGGTTGAGCAAGCCTTATCTGAGATTACAAAGTCCAAAATATTCCCAAATCCAAGACTGTTAACAAGGGTGGCTGAAATTTTGTTGTTGTTCATTCGTTCAGTTGCTTTCTTCTCATAATGTGGCCAAAGTACTTCATCTTTGCCTCTACTATCCTTCCCTCCAATGAGCAGTCTGGCTTTATTTCCTGAAGTATGGACTGCTTGGATCTTCTCACAGTCCAAGGCACTCTCAGAATTTCCTCCAACACCACAGTTCAAAAGCATCTATCTTCCTTCGCTCAGCCTTCCCTATGGTCCAGCTCTCACATCCATAGGTGAATATGGGGAATACCATTGTTTTAACTTTGTGTATCTTCATTGCCAGTGTGATGTCTCTACTCTTCACTATTTTATCAAGATTGGTCATTGCTCTCCTCCCAAGAAGTAAGTGTCTCCTGATTTCCTGGCTGCAGTCTGCGTCTGCAGTAATCTTTGCACCTAGAAATACAAATTCTGTCACTGCCTCCATGTTTTCTCCCTCTATTTCCCAGTTGTCAATCATTCTTGTTGCCATAATCTTGGGGTTTTTGATGTTTAGCTGCAACCCAGCTTTTGCACTTTCTTCTTTCACCTTGATTAGAAGGCTCCTCAGCTCCTCCTCACTTTCGGCCATCAAAGTGGTGTCATCTGCATATCTAAGGTTGTTAATGTTTCTTCCAGCAATTTTCACCCCAGCCTTGCATTCGTCAAGCCCCGCACATCGCATGATGTGTTCTGCATACAAGTTGAATAGGTTGGGTGAGAGTATACAACCCTGCCATACACTTTCCCAATCTTGAACCAGTCTGTTGTTCCATGGTCAGTTCTTACTGTTGCTACTTGGTCCTTATACAGATTCCTCAGGAGAGAGATAAGGTGATTTGGTATGCCCATACCACCAAGAACTTGCCACAATTTATTATGATCCACACAGTCAAAGGCTTTAGAATAGTCAATGAAACAGAAATAGATGTTTTTCTGAAACTCCCTGCCTTTCTCCATTATCCAGCGGATATTGGCAATCTGGTCTCTCGTTCCTCTGCCTTTTCTAAACCCAGCTTGAACATCTGGCAACTCTCGCTCCATGTATTGCTGGAGTCTTCCTTGCAGGATCTTGAGCATTACCTTACTGGCATGAGAAATAAGGGCCACTGTACAGAAGTTTGAGCAGTCTTTAGCATTTCCCTTTTTTTGGTATGGGGATATAAGTTGATTTTTTCCAGTCTGATGGCCATTCTTGTGTTTTCCATATTTGCTGGCATATGGCATGCATCACCTTACAGCACCATCTTCCAAGATTTTGGACAGTTCAGCTGGGATCCCGTCATCTCCTGCTCCCTTGCTGTTAGCAATGCTTCTTAAGGCCCATTCAACCTCACTCCTCAGGATGTCTGGTTCTAATTCACTCACCACACTCAAAACTATCCTCAATATTATTATCCTTCCTATACAGATCTTCTGTATAGTCTCACCACCTTCTCTTGATCTCTTCAGCTTCTGTTAGGTCCCTGCCATCTTTGTTTCTTATCATACCAATTTTTGCCTGAAATTTACCTCCAATGTTTCTAATTTTCTGGAAGAGGTCTCTTGTCCTTCCTATTCTGTTGTCTTCTTCCACTTCCATGCATTGCTTATTTAAAAATAGTTCCTTATCTCTTCTTGCTAACCTCTGGAATTGCGCATTTAACTGGGCATATCTCCCCTTATCCCTGTTTTGTCGGGGCGCTGGAGCTTGAGCACCTCAATGATGTCATGAGCGAAACCGTAAAGGGCCACCCAAGACGGGACGGTTGTGGCAGAGAGGTCAGACCAAGCGTGATCCCTGGGGAAGGCAATGGCAAACCACCCCAGTATTCTTGCAAAGAAAACTAAATGGACCAGTACAACCAGAGATATGTTGGTATGCCATTGGAAGATGGGACTCCCAGGTCAGAAGATGGTCAAAATGCTACTGGGGAGGAGCAGAGGATAAGTTCAACTAGCCCCAGATGTGATGACGCAGCTAGCTCAAAGCCGAAAGGAAGGCTAGCGGCCGATGGTACTGGAGGTGAACGACGAATCCGATGCTCTAAAGATCAACACACCATAGGAACCGTGGAATGTAAGATCTATGAGACAAGGCAAACTGGATGTTGCTATTGGTGAGATGTCAAGACTAAAGATAGACATTCTGGGGGTCAGCGAACTGAAATGGACTGGAATGGGCAACTTCACATCAGATGACCACCAGATCTACTACTGCGGACAAGAGGAACATCGAAGAAATGGAGTAGCCTTCATAATTAATAAGAAATTCGCTAAAGCGGTGCTTGGATACAACCCAAAAAATGACAGAATGATCTCAATTCGAGTGAAAGGAAAGCCTTTCAACATTACAGTGATCCAAATATACGCCCCAACCACAGCTGCTGAAGAAGCAGAAGTAGATCAGTTCTATGAGGATCTGCAGGACCTACTGGATAATACACCAAAAAGAGACATTATTTTCATTACAGGAGACTGGAATGCCAAGGTGGGAAGTCAAATGACAACTGGGATCACAGGCAAGCATGGTCTGGGACAACAAAATGAAGTGGGATGCAGGCTGATAGAATTTTGTCATTGTGTATAACGAACACTCTCTTCCAACAACCTAAAAGACGGCTTTATACATGGACCTCACCAGATGGTCAACACCGAAATCAGATTGACTACATCCTTTGCAGCCAAAGGTGGTGGACATCCATCCAGTCGGTGAAAACAAGACCTGGGGCTGACTGTAGCTCAGATCACGAACTTCTTATTGCTCAATTTAGAATAAAACTAAAGAGATCAGGGAAAATACACAGACCAGTTAGATATGATCTCACTAACATTCCTAGCGAATATACAGTGGAAGTGAAGAACAGATTTGAAGGACTAGATTTAGTAAACAGAGTCCCAGAAGAACTATGGACAGAAGTCCGAGACATTGTTCAGGAGGCGGCAACAAACTACGTCCCAAAGAAAAAGAAAACCAAGAAGGC